AGCCACAGCATGGCAGCTGACAGATGGGTGGTGGGGTTCCATCACCAGGAAATGAACCTGGGCCACCGAAGCAGTGAGACCACCGAACTTTAACCACTAGGCCATCACGGCTGGCTCACAACATTGTTTTTGACACTCAAACCAATGAAATAATTCAGTTAGATGAAATAAAAGCTTTTTAACAAGTGGTGCTGGAGTAGCTGGGCATCAAATAGACAACAACAAAATAAATAAAATATAAACCTCAAAGTGATCCTCATACCATATACAAAAAGTAACTCAAAATGGATTAGGGACTTATATGTAAAATGTAAAACCATGACCCTTTTAGAAAAAAAAATCTAGGAGGCAATCTTCATGATTTGGGATTAGGTGAAGCATTAGAGAGCAAAACATGATTTATAAAAAGAAAAATTGATAAACTTGACCTCATCAATATTAGAAGCTTTTTCTCTGCAAAAGTTCTTTTTAAGAGGATGAAAAGACGAGGTAGAGACTTGGAGGAAATGTTTGAAATTGACATCTCACAAGTAATTTCTATCTAGAAACGATAAAGAACTCTCCAAACTCAGCAGTTAAACAAAGAAACACTCAAAAACAATTTAGTTAGAAAATCGGCAAATGACATAAACAGACATTTCTATGAAGAGGATATACAGATCACAAGTAAGCAAAGTAAAAGATGTTCATAAGCTTTTAGGGAAATGCAAATTAAGACGTTAATGGGACATCAGTGTAGCCAAAAAGTATAAAAAAGCACACCAAATTCTGGCGAGAATGCAGAGAAACTGAATCATTTATACGTTGCTGGTGGGAGTGTAAAATTGTACAACTACTCTAGAAAAGCATATGAGATTTTCTTGCAAAAGTAAACACGTGCTTACCATGTGACCCAGCAATTACACACTTCAGCATTTATCACCCAAAATGGAAAATCCATGTTAGCACAAAAACCTGTAAAAAATGTTCATAGCAGCTTTATTCATAATAACCCAAAACTACAATGACAACCCAGATGTTCGTCAACAGGTGAAAGATTCAACAAACTGTGGTACATTCATACCCTGTAATATTGCTCATCAATAAAGAAGAACTGAGTATTGATAGACTCAACTAAGATAGATCTCAAGGGAATCATGATGAGTGAAAACTGCAAATCTCAAAACCTTACATGTGTGATTCCATTTATATAGCATTCTTGAAATTACAAAATTATAGACATAGAAAATAGATTAGTGGTCGCCAATGGTTGCAGAGGGAGACCATGGTAACAAAAGGGCAGCATAGGAGATCCTGCTGATGGAGCTGTTCTGTATCTTGATTGGTGCTGGTCATATGGGATAAAATTGCATAAAACTAAACAGACATGCACACACACGTACACAAGAGAACACATGTAAAACTGGTGAAATCTAAATAAAGCTGATGGAGTGTATAAATGTCAGTTTCTTTTGTGATATTTATTATGCAAGATGTTACCGTATTATGAGGGAAACTGGGTGAAGAGTTTAAAGGATCTGTCTGTCTTATTTCTTAGAACTGCGTGTGAATCTGCAGTTACATGAATACATATATATATATATATACATTTAGAATAAGAATGAGAAATGTTCTGTTCACAATAATAACAAACTACAATTAGGACTAAATCTAACAGGAAAACTAAAGGATCCAAATGAAAAGGAGAAGATGAAATATTAATGTACATAAAATATGAATGGAATAAGTAGGTCTGAATTTAAAGCCTTAATATTACAAAATATTTAAAGTTTTCCAATTTACTGTTGTAAATAGTGCTATTTTGATAAGATGTCCAATTTGGTGAGTTGAAATATGACTTTAAACCTCATATAAAAGAATATATGTTTGAGAATTCTCAAAATATAATTTAAAATATTATTTGAAAATAAGATTATTTGGTGTGGTGCACTTACCTTACAAGGTATATTTTATGTTAACATCTTTCTAAATGATACAGTAAACAAAATATGTAGAATTTATCTAGGAACAGAAAAAATATCTTTGGAAGACAAACAGATGTATGTGTATAATGGATATTCATATACGATAGTTAATTTTTCAATTCCATAAATAAGGATCATTTATTTAATAGACTGTTAGCATAATCTATTCTCCCACTGAAATAAAGTTAGATTCCTATGTCTCACTTTTACCTATATTAATTTTATTGGATCAAATAAATAAATGTATGTCAAATGGAGATGGTAAAATATAAGGCTCTAAGAACTTCAGGAGTTGGATTAGACAAAATGATGGCATATTTATGTAATTTTGGGAAATTTTAAATATTGAAACTTACCTATACCAAAGTCTGGTTTTATTGAGATATCTCATAGAATAAGTGTTAAAACCCTAAGAATATTAGCTAATATGATTAAAATCCCAAACTTCTATGACAGAAAATGAATTCTAGAATCAAGTTTTCTTTGGTTTGTCAAACAACAATCATTCATCCTTTTATCTAAAATGCTCTCACTCCTTCTCTTGCCCCTGCCCATTCCCTTTCTTTGTCTATTGAAATCAGTACAGCCCAGGTCATTTAATTCTTAAATGTTTCAATAGACTTTATTTTCTGAAGTCTTAGGTTCACAGCAAAATTAGGCAGAAAGTGCAGAGATTTCCCACAGATCACTTGCCCTCATACAGGCACAAACTCTGCCATTATCGACATCCCACACCAAAGTGATACATTTGTTACAAGTGATCAGCTTATGTTGACATCATCATCTCCCAAAGTCCATCATTTACATTAATACTCACTCTTGGTGTTGTACATTCTCTGGCTGTGGACAAATGTATAATGGCATGTATCCACCATTACAGCATCACGCAGAGTAGTTTCACTGCCCTAAGAGTCCTTTCTGCTCTGCCTATTTACCCTTCCCTCCTGCTAACCCCTGGCAACCATGGATATTTTCGCTATCTCTATAGTTTGCCTTTTTCAGAAGGTTACACAGTTGGAATCATGCAGTATGTAGTCTTTTCAGATTGGTTTCTTTTACTTAGTAATAGGCATTTAAGCTTCCTCTATGTCTTTTCGTGGTTGATAGCTTATTCCCTTTTATTAGTGAATAGTATCTCATTGTCTGGATGTATCACACTTCACCCATTCACCTACTGAAGGAAATCACGGTTGCTTCCAAGTTTTGGCAATTATGAATAAAACTGCTCTAAACATCTGTGTGCAGGTTTTTGTGTGGACATGACATTTGGGTAAATACCAAGGAGTGCAGTTGCTGGATTGTATGGCAAGAGTCTGTTCAGTTTTGTAAGAAACTGCTAAATTGTCTTCCAAAATGTCTTTACCACTTTGCATTCCCCTAAGCAATAGATGAGAGTTGGTCATTTAATTTTTAACTGAGGTCTTCCCTGATTCTTTTGCAAGGTATTTCTCTTCCTTTCTCTGAACTCATACAGTACTCTGCATCCTTTTTCTGCTGTCTATCATGTTCTTTCTTCTTTTGCAAGTGTGAAGCCCTCAGGGCAGAGCATAGATAAGTCTCCCCACCTTACAATATTTCACTTAACACCTTGAAAATTAAGAGTCTCAGTATTTGTTAGATGAATTAAAGAATGTTCAAATTTTGGTGTGTCCGACTGTCAGGCAAATGATCAAATGTGTATCATTGCCTAAGAGCGTTTTGTTTTGCAAATCCCTATATAATCACAATGTCTTATGCTAGGGTTGGAATCCAACAATTCTCACTATAACCGCTAGTAATATTTTTTCAATTATTTCTTAGCAATTATTTTGTGGGTTAAATGTATGGTTGATTCAAGCAAAAGGAAATTGCATTTGAAGGCGTTGATTCTTTGCCCCCGCTTTCCAGCTGGAACAAACAAAGCTCTTGCTGCAATAAGTGTTGGACCTTTAAAAAACTATCTAATGAGGTTAGTATATACCTTTGACATTTTATTTTCAAACAGGGTGAAGTTCACAGCTGAAAGGTCACAAAGATGATTTTACACAGTAAATAAAAAATGCTATTATTTTGCAAAGAAAATGAAATATTGCTAACTTGTGTAGAGCATCTTGCATCTAAAAGAGTGTTTACTGTGCTTACCTTTGGTAGTTAAACTGTGTTTGTCCTTTCATTTCTAAAATTTGGGAATTTAAAAGGGTAATACACCTAGTTTATGTGTCAGGGACCAATATAAATGGTTGCTCTTTATTAATATTCTGGCATTGTATTACTTGAATTTTTAAACTTAACTCGTAAATGCACTTACTATTTGTATGGTGGTAATTGTTTGGTGGAATTTGGTATTCATTCTTTTTATTTGGTGAACTTCCTTCTGAGTTGGGAAGTTTTCTTTATCATATATATTCAGGGCCTTTAACTCTCTCATAAATTTATCGTCAAAGAGAATATGTCAAAATGGTTTTGGAATGTGATGGGCTGGATTATGGTTGAATGTGAAAAATATACTATTTTGGACATAATGTACAATAGGAATTCTTAACTGCTTTCATATTATATATCACTACATAATAAAGGATTGATCTATTAAATTTGTGCTAGATCAAGACAATTTTAAAAGTAATTTATTAAAAAAGGTCATGAGAAAGACTAATTTCAAATGCCTAAAACCATGTTAAAATGGTTACTTGATATTGTCATCTAGTTAAGATTTTGTTTTTTTTGAGGAAGATTAGCCCTGAGCTAGCTACTGCCAATCCTCCTCTTTTTGCTGAGGAGGACTGGTCCTGAGCTAACATCCATGCCCATCTTCCTCTACTTCATACGTGGGATGCCTACCGCAGCATGGCTTTTGCCAAGCGGTGCCAAGTCTGCACCCGGGATCTGAACTGGAGAACCCTGGGCCACCAAGAAGCTGAATGTGTGAACTTAACCACTGGGCCACCAGGCTGACCCCTAGTTAAGATATTTTTGAAGCAAAATATTCCAAATTTTATAATTTGTTAGTTTTAAAAGCTAACATGAGGTAAAGGCTAATCTAAGACTATTTTATTTTAGATGAACTCACAAATTCATCAGAAAGCAGACTGTCTTTAGAAGACCTCTTCAGGAAAGACTTTGTGCTTCATGATCCAGAAGCTCGATGGATCAATGGTATGTGAATACCTTTTCATATGTTCTATTTATTTTGAGTTTCGTGTAATTAAAATTAAAATAAGTAATGGTATTTGTCGTTAACATTTTAATTGACATTATGCTTTAAAGATTACGTACATCATTTAATCAGAAATTAATACCTTGGCTTATGTTTCAGAAAACCCATTCCTAAGACAGGTCATCCATAAAATTATCCTTCAAACATTAGATTAACTGTTCTGTATCTGCTGTTTCCACATGATCATTAGTTAGGTGACTTTAAGGATGTGTTCCATCTTTAGCATTACCCTGGTAAATTTTCTTGGTCTAGAAGTATAGATTTGGGGATCCCGTATCTGAATGTAAATGCTTGAAATGTGACAATTAAATTACTTTTCTTTTCTCTCTTTTTAAGCTTAAGTGCTACAAACTAGGGAGACTTTACAAAGTTGAAATGACTCGGAAGTGACATGGAAATATATTGTACTTTGTCTTTTCCTGGCCTGGCAAAGAAACCACTTCAGCTTTCCTTAGGTTAATTTCTGATTTTCTTATTTTCAAAAATTAAAAAAGAAACAAAAACATTTAGGTTAAAATAAGAAACAACCAAAAGTAAAACCACTGATTGGCTCCCTGAATTTGGTTTGTTTCTATGGAAGTTTATAGGAGGAGTTGTTGGGTAATCTACTCAGAAAGGAATGTGTTGGTGAAGAGGAAGTCAGGTTTTCGTTTCTTAAATATTCCAATTTGCCTGATCATACTAATTACCGTGGTTAGATAGCAGTTAATCCTTGCCCTTCTCTTTATTTAGACATAAGATCTTCTCCTGTTTTCAAGGCATTGAGTACATTATTTGTATGATAGATAAAAGGAGCTTTGCTTTTTTATCTAGTAAAGATCATCTCACTTACAGTGTATTCTTTCTTCTCTAATATTCTAATTAAGTGTATTTATGCCTGTGAATTAAGCGTTAATTTATGGAAGAATGTAACTTAATTCATGAGGGCAGGGGCCACATCATACTTGTTTACCCAGCACTGACACAGTTCCTGAAGATCAGCAAGCACTTAAGATTTGTTTTTTGAATAAATAATTGAATGCATGCATTTAGTTGAAGTCTAGTGTTATTTTCCATAAACTCAAGTTTCATTTGAAATTGCTGGGGAGATGAGTGTGTATTGTGGTGACAGCATTACAGATAGAGAAAACCAGCTAGCCATTTTCATTTTGAATTGTGCATAAATTTACGACTTGCCATATTGTTGCCTTTGCACTATGATCATTTCAAGATGAGAACTATGACTAACGAAGTTTAATAAAAAAGATATATCATTACCAAACCCATGCATCTCTCATAAGTCATTCTCCCAATGTACCATCATAATATTGTAAGTCATCTTTTTACTTGCTAGAAAGCATTTTCTATTGAAGGAGATGATGTGAAAAGTTGTGAGTCATTAGCTTTGAAATGCTGAATAATATTCCATTTTATTTGCCATTATTTTGGCCAAACTGTAGAAATTTGTGTAGTCCTCGACTTTAGAAAGCAAGAAAAAATCATGGGCCTCATCTCCCTTCTTAGGGAAGCTTAGACTATATGAGTAGGCATTTGCTCAAGTGTATAAGTCATACTTTGATATCTAAGTGACTAAGGACAGGATGGATATTTAAATAGTGAACTGCATGCTAAATTAAGCCACATTTCAATATCCAGGACACACATTCTACTCTTAACACTTCATAAGATACCAAAATAATATATTTGGAGTTAATCTTTTTGATAATTTTCCAGTAGTTTCTTTACCAATCATTGATAAACTTGATCTTGAGAAAATATCCTGGGACAAAGCTGCAATGTTATTATTATATACCAAGCAAAACCTAAGGTCTATAATATTTATAAAAGAATTTGACATAAAACAACCTTTTAAACTGGATTAAATAGAATCTAAGTTCTCAGAAGAATGCAATCTTTATAAATACCACTAAAGGAATTGACTCACTGTCAGTAGATTGCATGCACTGGGTTGTTTTTTGAGTAGTGGAATAGATTTGTGCTCGTTCACTCTCCTTATCCAACCCACATCTCTGTTCTGGCAATCACTAGATACTTGGCTTATTTATGTATTTCTCATATAGCCAGCAAATTCTGTGGGAACTACACGAATAAAATGTGTAACTTCGGCCTCATTATCACAGATTATATCCAAATGTAAAATGTGAGCTATCTCTTTATTCTCATGAGATGTCTCACCAAGTTTTCTTAGTATATAAGTAGGTTGAAGGAGTCCAAGATAAGCTCATTTGGAAGCTTCATTTAGTTCTTGGAGGTCACCATAGGACCACTTAGTTCATTACTGATCAAGGGGAAAGAGGGAGTCCAGACGGCCCTGACATGTGCAGGTTGTAGTGCAGCGATGTCATTCATTATGGTGGTTCTCAAATAATATATCTGTGAATGTCACTGAAGCCTTGGATGGATGCTCGTGTTCATGGTTAGCTTAACAACTGCCTTCCCCCGAATGTGCTCGTATCCTTGGAATCTCCATTTTTATAGCATCTTCTTTCTAGTTAAGTCACCTTGAAACCTGGAAATCCATCTTATTTAACATTATTCATCTCTCTACATACATTTGATGATCAATCAATCATCAGAGAAAGATCTACCATTAATTGAGTGCCTTCTATGTTAGGCTTTGTGTTAGATGCTTTATATACATATTTCACATATAGCATGAAAAGTTAAAATTATTAACCCCAGAGAACTGAGGTTTAAGGAAAAAACTTGTCCAAAAACATAGCTGATAAGAGGTGGAGCCTACTTTAATCACTATGTCTAAGTAGAAAACCTACCGTCTTTCATTGTTATGCTCTTAGATGCCATTCTTAATATCTAACACATATATCAACTACCTTTTTGACAATGTCATTGTTAAAGATCATGTTGTTATTAGTCCTTTCCTCTTGAATACTGCAGTAATGTCATTTCCCCAGGTACATCCATATAATGGTAACTCTTGTCAATAAAATAAAGATGTAGAAGCACATTTGTTGACATTCTTATGATATAAAAAGTGAACAATTTGTTTATTCCGTTTTGTCTAAATTTTCTTTAAAAAAGTGTACATTTATGCAGTTTTTATAACTAATTAAGAAGAAAAAATTGCTCTCCTCTTTTTTAGTCTCATGGATCTTTAATTCTTCTAGCAGTCTCCTGTCAATAGAATTTTATAAGACTTAGCTAAAAATGGTTAATGCATTTCTCAAAAAACATCAGAAGAACCCCGTTGCCAATTGAATCAATTCCAAGCTCCTCTCTTTGTATTTCAATCCTCTCGTTATCAAGGTCAGCCTTTTTCCTGCTACTCTATTTTACATTATATTTTGGGCACATTGAACTACTTGATATTCCTCATCAGCCTCAAAAGCTTTCTTGACTCTGTGCCTTTGCCCAGACTATCTTCTCTACCTGGAATCCCTTCCCCAATCTGAAAGCCCAAATTTTATCCCACTAGAAACCTGATGCCCGGGTGCAAAGGCAACGCCTCTTCTTCTTCCTGCCAGCTGTGAGGAACGGCATCTTCCTCTGTACTCTAGGATTTGAGTCTCCATATAAAGATTTCTGCCTTGTTATAATCACAACATTGTCTAATTGCCTCTAAGGCCTTGCTTCTAAAACTATTGTGAAAGACTATTATTTTAAAATTTAACTCATTTGTTTTTATTTCCAGTTTGGCATGAATCAATACCTTTGTAAAATACAAGATATTATAAATAACTATAAAAATAAAATGATAAACGGATATTTTAAATACAACCAAGAATTTTATCTTATTATATTCCACAGTTCTAAAATTGCATTTCAAAAATATTATAACTACAATCATAATATTGGAATAAAAAAGAACTTCAAATATTACTTTGTTTGAGAGAGTATAGAGGCAATTAATAGGATTGATGTTACACTCATAACTTTTTATTATTCCTAAATCAGAATTAAACAAATATTGAGAGAAATAGTGATTATTCACATTAAATGCCTATTCTCAGATTTGGAAGTGGAACTGGCATATCAGTATTTAAAGGTTTTAATAAATGAGCTTGTTTCGTTCTTGTTAAGTTAACTGATTTAGTGTTATATTGATGACAACACTACTCACCGGGGATAATGTATATCTAGACTGTTCCTATTTTTTGTTTTAATAATACTCATAGCAGAGAAGAAATCAGTCTCTAAAATAAGGATATGGTAAGGGAAGAAGAAATTTTAAAGTAATTTTAGTAATCTCAGGATATTCACTTTAAGCTTTTATCCAAAATGAATCAAATGATACTGTATTTTTAAACTTTAGCTTCAACTCTTTACCACCAGCCAATTTCAAAATTTATCTTGTAGAGTAGACATCATTTAAATTAACTTCTGATCAAAAAATAGATTTTAGATTTTAAGTACTTTTGGGTTACAGTGGACAAACTAACGTTAAATTATAACATCACGTACAAGGTTCTACTGTATATAGCTAATCCGTCACTGGTTCACCCACTAGTTCACCTGCTTAGTGAGACTGGTCAGCTTATCATGCATTTTGGATCTTGCAGCAATGTCAAATTGCTATGAAAGTTTCTGAATGCTTACTCTCAGTTCAACTTATCTCATTGTGGGTCAGTGGCCAACACTTCCCAACTGGATGTAGTCTGCCAACATCACTCTTAGGGCAGCTCTGACCTAGGGGACAGTAAACCTTAAGGAATAGGACTTGTGTCACATTCACTTTTGAGTCACCACAGCAATTAGCACCATGCTTGGACTCAACTAGCATTCAATAAATAGTTTAGTTAGCCTAATGAGATAAACTATTATATTTTCCTTGATATACAAAGGTGAGCCCACTTGATCCACAGTCAGTAGAGGGCTCATTTCAGTTCTTTTGCTCATACTGTGCATAGATTTTTCTCTGATCTATACAAACCTGTCCTTCCCAACGTTCATCCAGCATGTGAGTTGTTGTACACTTTTT